GATTTGTCGGCTTCCAGCAGTTACACCACGTGTTTGTCAAGTTCTTCCTATACCTCAGGAAGTTTTTAGACCGACTTAAAAAACCTAAACAACCAGTTGAAAACAAACCAAACTAAAATTTTTTACTGAGATAAATGACCGAAGAAGTTGAAACGGTAGATTTGACACCACAAACAAAAGTTCAGAACCATTGTCAAAACCCGTCAAAGAACTTACAGATGAAGAGAAAAATTCAATAATAGAAAGTGCCAGGTCTGGAAATACAAACCCTAACTACAAAGTCACTTTTCATAAAAATGGAACGGCTAGTATCTCAAAAAAGAAAACAGACTCTCACAAATAAAATATTGAAGTCTGAAGGAGCTTTCGAGACAACAGATGGAAAAGTTTACTTCACTGACCAACAGTTCATTATAGAACATCTCATTGACTTAGAGTCGAAATATTCTAAACTTTACAACAAACACAAAAAGTTGAAAGGAAAACAAAAACAAATGGCATATGATATTTATGAAGATGTTGACGACACAACTGTTCCTGCAAGTGAAGTAAAGTCAGAGGAACCGAAAAGTGACGAAAAACCGATAGAAGAAGAAAAACCAAAAACTGAAGATAAACCAAAACCAAAGTTTAGTTTCCAAACTAAACCAAGTCAACCTTCATTAGCTGGTATGGGTTGGCGTCAAAGACTTATGGCAGCAGGCGGTTTATGTAAAGTAAAGAAAAAAAATATTTTTTTATTTTTATAAAAATGCCCCCATATAGAATGGATAGAAAGTCTGCTAGAATAAAAGCAGAGTTACAAAGATATGGTTGGAGAGTTTCGAAGAATTTTAAATATAGGAAGGGAAGACCCATAAAAGTCTATGACAAATTGTCTGGTCTTCGCTACGAAATGGATTTGGAAACAGCACGTGCCAATTATCCAAACAGACTAGAGAGGTTAGAAGAAGAACGTCTTATGGACATGCCTTTCGATGTGTTAAACATTGCATGAAATAAAAAATTTATTTTTCAAAAAAGTGACATTTTTTTTATTTTATTTGAAATGTACGCTGAGTTTGTTGGAGAAGACCGTTGGGAAACTTGTTTGTTAGATGAGAAATATGAAATGGCATACCATTTTAAAACAATATATTTTTACATATATTAAATGCTTCAGGTTGAAAAACAAAGAACAAAAGTAGCAGATACAAAACCGTTAGACTATATCTTTACAAATGCTGGTAGGACTATTTCAGATGAAGAAATTTCATCCCGAGCATACAGGTTTGACTATCCAATTCGTTGGCTTCAAAAGTCCTTCAGATGCAAAGGCAATAGGATTTAGAAGAGTTTTGTTTTCAAATAGAACTAACGCATTTATGTTCGCAGTATATTTTCATGGGCAGTATAAGGTTCTGATGGTCTAATAGACAAATTTGCCGAAATGAGAATCTTTACAGTTCGTTCAGACGAAAGTCTTGAGAAAACTCTAAATGACTTTCAAACTCAAATGAACAAATATTATTGGGAATTTCAAGAAAAATACGACTCTTTACTAAATGGAACATACTATCTGAAACTAGAATATGACAAGATGAACTCCACCGTTTCATTTCAAAAGATTGAAATTAACCCTCAAGAGATACAGAGTTTTTTATTTTGGAAAGTAGACAAACGTTCTTGGGAACAATTTCTTCGGTTACTAAACCAGAACGAAACCATTACCACCAGATGGTCCATTTAAATTTATACTTCCACCAGCAGATTTGATGGTTTATAGAAACGTGTTTGACCCTCAAAATGTTATGTGTCATGCAAGTTTCAGTTCAAGCAACAATAGTTTTCTATGTATTGGTAAGGACCTTTATGACTTTGCTTCTAAATTCTACGAACCACCTAGTAACAGTTTCTCTGACTTTCAAGTTTGGTTCACAACAATGGTGTGCAACATATTATTCCATTGTACTATGACTTTTATCTCGAATTGTCTTTCATATATAACTACGGAAAAGTGCTGAAAAAGTATTGAAAAATAATGTTTATGTTAGCATGTTAGATCTAACACGTTTTCTAACCACTTTTCTAACATCGTAGAAAACTCATGAAAACAATTTATTTTTGACACTTTCACAAAAAACATAAAAAAGTGAAGTTAAAATGAGATGTTTACTGAACTGGTTGGATGTCGCCTTCTGAGGTTATGTAGAACGGCTGACCCGAGAAGTGGAACAGTGCTCTGAGAATTTGTATAATTCGTGGAATTGGACTCTCTCTGTTTGGAAGTTGTATCCAAGGACGCTTGGCAAAGAACTTTATAATGGCTTCCTTCTTTGCTTGCTTTATGTCGTCGTAGGCTGTCCCGTCTGGTACGTCAATTGGAATTCCAGTCGAAATCTCGAGATTCAAGGCAGCCCTTCCAGAAATAGTGGTGAACTTGACCTTGGGCTTCATGACCTTGCGCAAGTAGTCTTTTACGCAGTCGTTAATTTCAATTAGGTAAACTGCCTCGTCGGTAGGTTCGACCTCGACCATTGCTACTGTCAGTAAAAGTACTGCTACTGTCAGTAAAAGTACTGCTACTGTCAGTAAAAGTACTGCTACTGTCAGAAAAAGTACTGCTACTGTCAGTAAAAGTACTGCTACTGTCAGTAAAAGTACTGCTACTGTCAGTAAAAGTACTGCTACTGTCAGTAAAAAGGAAAATTTGAGAGGGTTTTCGACGATAAAGTACTGCTACTGTCAGTAAAAGTACTGCTACTGTCAGTAAAAGTACTGCTACTGTCAGTAAAAGTACTGCTACTGTCAGTAAAAGTACTGCTACTGTCAGTAAAAGTACTGCTAGTAGCAGAGATTTTTATCGTTGGTGGTCTGACGGTTAAGCCACAAACGAATGTCCCACGTCCCACCAACCCTTGGTTGTTCCAGCAATTCCAATCTCAATCCAAATCGAAGAGAGACCAAGAGTTCGAAGAAGGTCTGAACCGCTTACGCAAAGAGTATGCTACAGCTCCAATTGAGAGAAAGTTGGTCCCGGACCAAAAAATAATGTTTAGGGTAGATGGTTAGATCTAACCTCATTTCTACCCTCATTTCTACCCTCATGAATTTTCATGAATTTTCATGAATTTTATATATTAATGTTTTCGTTAATTTAAATTAGGTAAACTGCCTCGTCAAATCCTTCTGGCATTCCGAGTCCTTCCATCCGACAGGAAAAAATTTTCCCGACAACTGGAAAAAATTTTCCCGACAACTGGAAAAAATTTTCCTTCCGACAGGAAGAACTCTTCCAGTTGTCCGTCCGTAAACCATTCAAATTTTCGAAAATTGAGAACTTTTTGGTCGAACTTCAGAAAAAGTTTTTCCTTCCAACAGGAAAAAATTTTCCTTCCAACAGGAAAAAATTTTCCTTCCGACAGGAAGAGTTCTTCCTTCCGACAGGACACAAACGAATGTCCGACGTCCCTCTTCCTGAACGCCTTCCCAAACCAGAGGAACCTAAAGCACCAGCCCCTGCACCTCAGTTCCAGCAAGTACCTCCGAATTACTACCAATTTCCACCTCAAGGTTACTACCCACCACAAGGCTTCCCGAACTACCCTCCTCAGCCTATGCCTTACTTCCCCAACCCTTGGATGTTCCAGCAAGCTCCACCCCAACAATTCCAATCTCAATCCAAATCGAAGAGAGACCAAGAGTTCGAAGAAGGTCTGAACCGTTTACGCAAAGAGTATGCTACAGCTCCAATTGAGAGAAAGTTGTTCCCGGACCAAAAAATATATTTTAGGTGAAGAGGTTAGATCTAACCTGTTTTCTCACCTGTTTTCTCACCTCATGAATTTTCATGAATTTTATATATTAATGTTTTCGTTAAGCCACTTTGTGCCGTCAGTCAGTCAGTTTAGGAAAGACTTTAGAAAGTTGTTGGAAAATAAGTCCTGGGAAGAGTATTATAAGGCATTTTGTGAAGAATATAGCAACAGTCTGAATTCCGGCGGTTGCTTTTTATACAAAATTCATGCAGGAAATTCTTGAGTTTTGGTTGAAAGAATACGGTGGAGCCAAAAGTGGCTCGACCTCAAAACAAGCATTTTATGAGCTTACAAAGGGTGTTATGAATGAATTCAGCAACATACATCCTGACCTCGTTCATTTTGTTGCTAAATTCAGTAAAAATAATGTTTAGGTGAAGTGGTGAGATCTCACCCGTTTTTTCACCTGTTTTCTACCCTCTTGAATTTTCATGATTTCATCGTACATGCTTTGTCAAGACTTCTTCGTAAATGATTTGTCATGATTTCATCGTAAATGTTTTGTCAAACATGAACGTAAATGTTTTGTCAAAACTTCTTCGTAATGAGCGTAAATCAGACAAAAATATAATTTAGGTGAAGAGGTGAGATCTAACACGTTTTCTCACCTCTTTTCTCACCTCATGAATTTTCATGATTTCATCGTAAATGTTTTGTCAAAACTTCTTCGTAAATGTTTTGTCAAAACTTCTTCGTACATGTTTTGTCAAAACTTCTTCGTACATGTTTTGTCAAAACTTCTTCGTAAATGAATTTTCATGATTTCATCGTAAATGTTTTGTCAAGACTTCTTCGTAATGAGCGTAAATCAGACAAAAATATATTTTAGGTGAAGTGGTGAGATCTCACCCGTTTTTTCACCTGTTTTCTCACCTCATGAATTTTCATGAATTTCCTTAAGATAGAAAAAATAAAGTTAGTTTTATTTTATTTATTTTTTTTATTTTGTATGTAAAGATATGATTTCAGGGATTTTTTTGACGAAGTGTTACTCTTCACTTCGTCAAAAAATAACAGTTATATAATGAAAAAGTGTCATTTTTTTGTATTTTTTTGTATTTTACGAGAATGTTTAGGGTAGATGGTTAGATCTAACCTCATTTCTACCCTCATTTCTACCCTCTTGAATTTTCATGAATTTTCCCGAAATAAAAAATAAAGTTAGTTTTATTTTATTTATTTTTTTTATTTTGTATAAAAGATATGATTTCAACAATCGGCACAACAACAATTCAAACAACAGCACCAAACTCGTTAGTCATGAATCCAACATCTATGTTGGTAGAGATGAAAAACTTCATTCCTTCTTCATATACTTTCGAAACAAAAATCCAGAAGATAAAGCAAGAACTTTTAACAAGTAATTTAGACTGTAGTGCGAAAGATGAAACAAATGAAGAATATCTTTATGAAATGCAGGACATTATTGACCATTTGCCTAAACTACCTGAAATTCAGCAACAAAAACTCACTATTCCTGAATTCGACGAAATTGAAGTGAAACCAACTGACTCAGTAGAAATAAAGAAGTTCATACGAAAGGTAAATTATGAATTCCTTGGTTTTCATTGCAACCATAAGGTTATGGACAAAGATTGCGATATGGTATATAAGAATGTTTCTGACATATATAAATCTGAAGAATTTAAGACCTACGACAACTTTGTTTCGTTAGTTGCTGAATGTGTTTGGGAAATAAGAGATAAAGATAGAAGAGGCAAAGTATGGAACAAACAGATAAAACCAGCAGCTTTTGAGATGAAGAGAGCAATTGACGCCTTAGTTGTTTTAGCAGGTAAGGTTTCAGAATATAACGCAAAAATGAACCCGCAATGTTCTAAATGTAAAGCAGCAATTAGGAAATATAACTACTCCGTCAAAGAGATAGAACGTATGCGAAACGACTATGCAGACTTAAAGAAAGAAGCAGAAAAACCAGCAGAAGATAAAATGGACATGTTAGCATTTCTGAACAAAAACTATCCAACAGCAGAAGATTTCCTTCTATCTGACGTCAAGAAAAGTATAAAGAAGAAACTTTCGGTATCGTTAAAACATTCGATGTACTAAAAGAAGAATAGAAGCTACGAAACTGTTTAGAATTTCAAATATACATCGTACAATTCATGTAAAACGCTTGTGAAAAAACTGGGGTGAGAAAACAGGTGAGAAAACGGGTGAGATCTCACCTTCTACCCTAAACATTATTTTTGCTGAATTCAGCAACAAAATTCTGAGTAAAATAATTTTTAGGGCATGTGTCAAACCGTTGAGTTTTCACAAAATTTAAAAAATAACGTTTACCATGTGAAACGCTTATAAAATAACTGGGGTAGAAAACAGGTTAGAAAACAGGTGAGATCTAACCTTCTACCCTAAACATTATTTTTGTCTGATTTACGCTCATTACGAAGAAGTTTTGACAAAACATTTACGAAGAAGTCTTGACAAAACATGTACGTTCATGTTTGACAAAACATGTACGAAGAAATCATGAAAATTCATGAGGTGAGAAAACAGGTGAGAAAACAGGTGAGATCTAACCTTCTACCCTAAACATTATTTTTGTCTGATTTACGCTCATTACGAAGAAGTCTTGACAAAACATTTACGAAGAAGTCTTGACAAAACATATACGTTCATTACGAAGAAGTCTTGACAAAACATGTACGAAGAAGTTTTGACAAAACATTTACGTTCATGTTTGACAAAACATTTACGAAGAAGTCTTGACAAAACATTTACGAAGAAGTCTTGACAAAACATGTACGAAGAAGTCTTGACAAAACATGTACGATGAAATCATGAAAATTCATGAGGTGAGAAAACAGGTTAGAAAACAGGTGAGATCTAACCTTCTACCCTAAACATTATTTTTGTCTGATTTACGCTCATTACGAAGAAGTCTTGACAAAACATGTACGATGAAATCATGAAAATTCATGAGGTGAGAAAACAGGTGAGAAAACAGGTGAGATCTAACCTTCTACCCTAAACATTATTTTTGTCTGATTTACGCTCATTACGAAGAAGTCTTGACAAAACATTTACGAAGAAGTCTTGACAAAACATATACGTTCATGTTTGACAAAACATTTACGAAGAAGTCTTGACAAAACATTTACGTTCATGTTTGACAAAACATGTACGAAGAAATCATGAAAATTCATGAGGTGAGAAAACAGGTTAGATCTAACCATCTACCCTAAAATATATTTTTGCTGAAAAATGACCAAATTTCATGAATTTCCTCATATGCTTGCTTCCCTCGGAAAACCGAGAGAAGAGATTCCGTATGAAAATCATGAAAAATTGCCAAACGGTTTGAAAGGATATTATGTACATAGACTTCTTGTAAATGCTGTTGCAATGTGGGCTTCACCTAAAATATATTTTTATTGAAAAATGACCAAATTTCATGAATTTCCTTAAGATAGAAAAAATAAAGTTAGTTTTATTTTATTTATTTTTTTATTTTGTATGTAAAGACATATATGTCAAACATTGAGTTTGAAACAGTTAGAAAGATAGACAATGACACCAAATTGGTTAGAATAGGTGATTTAAACGTAAGATACTCAAAGAAATACAACAAATATTCTTTGTCAGACATTATATTTCCATCTGGAAAGAAAACAAAGGACTGGGTTAGAATTGCTTCAACTCAGAAAATTTTGACAAGAAATCCTGAGCTTATGATATCGGTAAGATTCTATGGAACTGCAGCATATCTCATCGACAAAAGTCTTATACCAATAGTTTTGTTATGGTTAGACCCAGTTGTTGGATATAACTTCATAACATATGGTTCATTCGACTCAGAACGTTGCAGTGAAGGCTTACTTTATATCGTTCAGAAACCGAAGGACTTCAATACAAAGAGATATAAGATAGGAAGAACATATAATATATACTCAAAGATATGACAGTACAGTCAATAGAGTCAAGGTTGTGTTTGTTAATGATATGAGAGCTGCAGAAACAGAACTACTTGAAAAGTTTGAGAAAATGTATGGTGCTCCCATAAAAGGTAAAGAAACGTTTGAAGTAGATGAGATAGATAAAGCTATAAAATTATTTGACGAAGTTGCTGAAAAATACATGTAAAGCGTTTATTTTGGTCTTTTGTGAAAGTCAGAAAAAATAAGTTAGTTTTATTTTTATTTATTTTTTTATTTTGTATGTAAAGACAGATATGTCAACAACAGAGAACACAACAACTGCTATCGTTCATGAAGCTATAAATGAAGAATATGAGTACATACAGTTTAACAAACAACTCCGTCTCATTCGTTCGGTCAAAGACGATATGTACCAAATGCAAAGTATTTTGAATGCTCTTCGTTCTACAAAGCAAGCATATCATTGGTTTGAAAACCAACAGACAAAAGAACTTTTAGAAGAATTTCCTCATATGCTTGCTTCCCTCGGAAAACCGAGAGAAGAGATTCCGTACGAAAATCGTGAAAAATTGCCAAACGGCTTGAGAGGATATTATGTACATAGACTTCTTGTAAATGCTGTTGCAATGTGGGCTTCGCCTCGTTATGCTTGGAATATTTACAGACTTCTTGACGAAATTCATAGACAAGAACGTGAAGAGCTAGAGAACAAGCTTGAAGCAAAAGACAAAAGCATTCAGAAAAGAATACCACGTTCGGTACCAAAAGGAAAGGAAAAGAACTATAAGTATATGATTTATACTGAAGAGATGGAAAATGAAGAAGATAAAGATATGGTTATGTTGCATTTAGTCAGAAGAAACAACAAAAGCTTTTACGACCTTGCTAAGATTTACAAATCTGACAGAAATTGGTTCTATCGCGAAAACTTACCGATTTCAATGACCCCAAATGAAGATGTGAAACAAATAGTTCAAGATACGTTACCTCAAACACACTATGATATGAAAGGTTGTACAATACTTACATTCAAAGAAGACTTACCGCTACTGAAAGAAAAAATAACAGAGTATTTTGACAACTTCAAACAAGTAGGGTAGATGAACTCTTTATTTTTATTGACTTTTTACAATTTGAACTTTGTTTGCGTAGATATGAATTCTGAAAGAAGTATGAGGGTCTTGTATGACTTTGTACTTCTCCCATAGTTCATGTCTGTCAAACTTACCTGCCATGGACTCTTTCATAAGTTCCATGAAATCGTCTTCGGACAATCCGGGGAAAAGTATAATGTCAGTAAGTATTCTTTTAACATCCTTACTTAAACTCTTTGCTGTCTGTACACATATTACGACTGAGATGTTAAAGTGTCTGAGCTTCTTAAGAATTCGACACATGTCTTGTTCTCTGTTCTTTAACAAAGGATGAGAGGCGAAATCATCTAAGATAAGAAGACATCTATGAGGGTATGTCTTCCAATCGTAAGATTGCAATTTCTTCGAAATGTATTCTATCTCTTTCTGTTTGTTTCTGAAGTGTTTCTTCTCTAATATTCTCTGCATTTCCTCATTTGGGTCTTTAAACTTAGAATTTAATATACTCATTTATAGCATTATACTTCAAAACTCTTCTTTGGTACTTCTTTATCCAATCTAACAACTCAGTATCCTTTATACATACTAACTTAGACTTCTTTATAATATCTTTGAACGAATTGACGGTTTGGTCAAATTGACCAGAAGTCGAACAAATGACTACTAACTCATAGAATGGGTTCTTCTCATCTAGTTTCTTGTTGTTGTGCAGCCATTTTAAGATAAGTGAAAGTCTTTACCCGACCAGGTGGTGCAGATTAGACCTGTTATACCATTCTGAGCAAATAAGAACTTTTCATGTATAGGCTTTATCTGAGCATTTTCTAACTTCACCTTGTTCTTGTTTAAAACATTCTCAAATTTCTTGTCAATGTCAGCAAACTTTTTTTCTAATATTTTTTAGAAAAATTAAAATTTTTTCTTTTAGAAAATGCCTAGCGATTTCGCTATCTATATTCGAGACAAGCTTTTCGACAGCAAAACATCTGTCGACCATAAAATCTTACATAGTGTAAACAAGAAAGGTGAATTTGTTCTAAAGTTCTGTTTCTGGGAATATGACAAGAACCATAAAACATTAAGCAGAGCAGTCTTAAAATTTGTCAATGACAGACTTGTTGACAGAGATGACGCCTCTTGGAGAGATGAAGTCCAACAAAACTTCTTAGAATGCAAAGAAGACACATGCGCTGTTCTTGAAGATGAAATAGAAAACAGAATAGATGAGCTATTAAAGGACAAAGAACTTTTACATAAATATAGTTGCGCCAAATTTGACATAACTCCACCAGAAAAGAAGAAGAAAGAAAAGAAAGAAAAGAAAGTAGAAGAAGAGAAGAAAGAACCTGAACCAGTTCCAGAGAAAAAGAAATTTGACATGTAAAAATAAAATTTTATTTTTAGAACATTTCTGGGTCAATGTCAATGTTCTCTTCCTCTTTAGGAGTAAACACTGGCTTAGACTCTAAAATCTTTTACCCAATTTACCTTGAACTTCAACTATCTTAGACTCATAATATTCATAGTCGTCTGCTTTCTTTGGTTCATAAGGTATAACAAGTTTGTATGCTTTGCCTTCTTTAAGGTTTTGAGAACCTTCTGTCAAAACTTTCTTTGACTGCTAACAAACCTTCTATGTCTAAGTCTTCAAATTCGCACCATTTTTAGTCACAATAGCAAACTTAACTGGTTCGATGTTCCAAACTTTGCTGAATGAAGACTTTTCAAAATGGTAGAAGTAAACATTCAAATATGTGAATGGGTCTAGTTCTTCTTTAAGTCCTGACATGTACTTGTTTACTGAGATGAATTTTGTCATCTTTTCTATCGGATAAAAAAATATTTTTTTTTAAAATTTACTCAGAAAAATTTTTCTTTGTATATACACCATTCTGAACATCTAAAAGACTTTTGACATTTGCCAAGAATGTTCGTTTAGAAGCTGCCATATAACCATATTCTTGACAATATTGTTTATACGAATCGTACAATGACTTTCATCTAATGACACAAAGTCAGTTTCATCTATGAACAGTTCATATACACTCTTGTTTGCTTCTAACAATGTTTGTCTCTCTTCGGTATGTGGAATTTGTCTTGGATTGAACTTAGAAATATCTAATGTCATAAAGTATGAGAACAAGTGGTTGTAAAAGTCAGATGTCAAAGTTTCTGCTAAGTCGTCAAAATATTCTGTATCTTGCATATGAGAATCTGACGTTCTGACAACTACATATCTTCTGTCAGAACTTTCTAACTTCATCGGAACAACATTGTTTGAAACCATAATGAAGTTTGCAATATTTTCACAAACTTTTGGTCTTTATACTTTCTTTCAACAACTCCAACTTTGTCTGTTATAAGACTCTTCAAAGCATCTGAGTTCAAAACTTTTGTTGTATCTATACTTTGAAGTTCATTGCAAACTATAAGTTTCATATTCTCTATTGAGGAGTTAAACTTGCCACAGATGTTTTCTAAGTTTGTCATATTCGGATTCGAATAACCTTCTAACAGTTTGCACAAAATATCTGTAAAGAATGTGTTCTTACCAGTTCCTTGTTTTCCAATTATAATGAGAGCAGTTTCATTTTTAGCACTTGGATGTTGTAAGATGTTTGCAAACCAACATAAGATATACTCATAATTTTTCGTTTCCATTGCATATAATTTCTTTGACATGGTCTAACCAAGCTTCTATAATATTTTCTTTCCATTCTACTTGTTCATATTATATCCAGTGAAGATAGAATAGAAGTTTGGAGAAGGTGTATAAACTTTATACCTCGAACTGAAAAATCTTCTAACTTTGACAATAAGATATCCCAAGCATCTAACATCTTCATGCCAACTTGTACGACTTTTATTTTCTTAAGTTTCTGTCTACATTCTTGTTCAGACACTATTGTTGCTCTTGGTTTGTTAAAGACAACATCCATTCTTTCATGACATAACATTCTGGGGCAGAGTCAACAATAATGACTAAACGTTTCAAATTCTCGACTGCTTTGTTATAGTCTCTAAATGGACACATATTTCTGAATGCTTGGAAGTCATAAAAATCTGAAACATCTATTCTGTACATTTTTATAAAAATAAAAAAAATATTATTTTTTTATTCTTGACTTTGTTGTTCCATTTGTTGCATTTGTTGTTCTTGAGCTATTTGTTGTTGAAGTTGTTCTTGTAATACAATACTTTCACCAGTTGCATCTTCCAATTCGAAACTTTCTGCCGTCATTGACAAATACATAGGACATAAAAGTTTTACAGGAAACAAAGTTTGCGTCAACTAATGTCAACGTTATACTTGCCAAAGTGTTTGAGTTCACTAAGGTGAAAATTCTGCATTCGAATGAACAATAGGCAAACCAGCAGAGAAAGTATTGTTTATACGCATAAGTATCTTTTGGTCATAATAGTTTCTGTCGACATTCGAATAACACTTTGAACCTAAGTTTGAAACAATATATAAGATTGGTGTGCTTAATGTCAATGGAATAGACATTCCTTGTATGACACTTTTTCCTGTTATAGGAAACTGTTGGTAGTAAAAACCAGAAATAAGTTTTGTATTATAGCTCATATCGTTTATAGTAAACTCAGTCGGACATCCAAACATAATGAAACCTGCTCTAGTTGCAGCACATGTTACACCGTACTTAAAGTATTAAATAAGTCAACAAAACCTGTGGTGGTATATCTGAGTAAGTATCTTCAAAGGAGTATTTTTTACCATTCACAACAATAAAGTCTTCTGGTGTCAAAAGAGCAAAACAGGCTTTAGTCGTCATTGTGTTTAAGGTTAGTTTACAATATCGTCCTTGAGGACTTTGTAAGTTTGTTGTTATAGAATTATATGACTCAGGGTTTTTAGTCGTAATAGTATAAACCATTATGTCTTCTGCCATTTACTTAGCAAATAAATTTTAATGAAATGTTGTGGTCGTCAAATATTTTTATAACGTCTGGGAAACTATATTTTAAGTTCAACGTTTCACCTCCTTTCATAACGTATATCTTGTCAATGACATTATATGAAACACCACAGCAACTAATGTCGGGTTCTATTTCTTTGATGTTTATATCGTCTGCCTCTGTCAAAAGTTTCAATAGTTCTTTCAAAACTTCATGAGGTGCAATGACATATGAGTTCACTTTTACAGGGTTGTGTTCGACCAAGTTTAACATTATACTTAAAGCTTGACAAATCTTCTCCTGAGTTTGAAGTTGTCTTTCAGTTGTTGGTAGTCATTTCGAATATCTGCAACAGAACTTAAGTCTCTGTTAACTTCAGGATATGTTGGTTCTTTTACAGGAACAATTGTTATACATCTTCGTCTTCGTATGGTTTCCCCACTTCAACATCTCTGTCTTTGACATTGACAATAACACTTTGACTGTTTGTTTGAGTTGGTGAATTTAACTTCACATCTGCCACCGCCATTAAACCTTTTGAAACACTTACGCTTCTATTTTTCGGAAATGACATTTTACTTAGAATAAAAAGATGGACGTATTCGGATATCTCTTTGAATTGAAGCAAAACAAAGTTTATACTCACAAACAATACAAATACATTGACAGAATAGTTCTTTACACAAACAATGGAAAATGTTATAGAATAGCAGTCTTTGCTGAACCAAAATATTTTCATAAAGCAAAGAAAGTTGGTATAACTGAAATGGTGAAAGTTCTTGAAGCAGACAAAAATATAACTTCAAAACTTACAGATATTACTAAAGGAAAGTTTATAATACAATATTATGTCAAAACTGGCGTACTGTCAATATTTGACGGAGAGAAGTCAGTTCAAGAACAACTTACTGACCTGCTGCCAAAATCTGCTCGATGGAAGCTGTCGTTATGCCAATCTGAGGAGCCCCAGCAGGTTTCATCGAACGAATCTTCAAAAGAGCATCTTCCGTGAAAAGTGCTATTGGTTTTGTAAACTTCTTTGCTTTCAATTCATCTGGACCGTCTCTGTCACCAGTATATTGTATTTG